GCCACTCCAAGTTCCTACCCACCAAGCCACTCCAAGCACCTACCCACCGAGCCACTCCAAGCACATACCCATGGAATAACTCCAAACACCTACCCAATGAGCCACTCCAAGCACGTACCCACCGTGCCACTCCAAGCACCTACCCACCGAGCCACTCCAAGCACCTGTATCGACCGAGCCACTCCAAGAACCTGTACCGACCAAGCGAATCCAAGCACATGTACCGACCGAACCATTCCAAACACCTACCGACGGAGCCACTCTAAGCACGTACCGACCGAACCACTCCAAGCACCTCCCCACCGAGCCACTCCAAGTTCTTACCGACCGAGCCACTCCAAGCACCTATACCGATTGGGCCACTCTGTAGCCGACCCCCCAGGTGTGGTGCTCCGCTAGTGGTAGAGATGAAGATGGAGGAAGAAGGGGGGAGCGAGATGGCACAACGCAGCTCCCCACGCAAGACTCCAACGCACATACTCCAAAATGTGCAAGTGAAGAATAATGACGAAACAGACAACTACTGGGGTATACCCCAGCGGACTGACTGGACTGGATTGGACTGGCTGGTACTGACAGAGGTACCGGCCTGGACTGGACTGGACTGCCTCCGAATAGAACACAGGCCTGTGAGAACAGGCCAAGGGGCTGGTCTCACAGGCCAACCAGAGGTCCTCTACACGATCCTCGGCCTGTGATGGATCGCCTAGATGCAAACACGCTTCCGCTAAGAAGCGGAACTCTACCAAAGAAAAAGAAAACCTGAGTAGTCTAGGATGCGGAGAAAGCTCCATGCTGAGTCCATGCAATGCAACCTAGGATCGAAAATGTCACAAAACAACAATATCACAGCTAACAGCCTAAGTGAAAGCAATCCAATCATCCAGCGCGGCACAACTCGTGTCGGGGTGCAGCTGGGACGGTCGAAGGAAGTCCCCAGGAACACGAAGGTGATAGCCGAGGTCGCAATAGTAAGGCGACATCCCGGTGGCTGGCGAGACAGCTTGGTTGTAGGCTATCTCCGTGTGGGCAAGATGGAGATCCCACTGCTGGTCGTCACGAACAATCTTTCGGAGAATATCCCCGAGAGTCCTGTTCGTGATCTCGATCTGACCATCAGTCTGAGGATGGTAAGACGAGGAGACGCGGAGCTGAGTGTCGTACACCTCCTGGAGCCGTCGCCAGAATCGGCTGGTAAAGCGCGGGTCACGGTCAGATATGATGCTCAGAGGTAAGTCGTGGTCACGCACAACTCGGTCAAACACGATGTCGGCGACCTCACGTGACCAGATGGCATAGCGGCACGGAACAAAGCGTGCACGCTTCGTGAAGCGGTCGACAACGATCAGGATAGCATCATGACCGCGAGGGGTCGGAGGACGAAAATGACCGATAAAGTCCATCGACATGGGCTGCCAACGACCCTCAGGGATAGGAAGAGGCTGGGACAAACCATAAGGCAGGTGGTTCGCATTGTTCACCTCCTGACAGGTGGGACACTCTGTGACGTAGTCCTTCACAAAGTCCTTGCGCTTCGGCCAGACGTACAGGCGGCTTACACGAGCCAACGTCTTATGGAAGCCCATATGACCGGCGGCTGCCTGGTCATGGAACTCTGATACTGCTCGGATACGTAGCTGTCAAGTGGAGGGAACACAAATAAGGGGCTCTAAGGTGCCCTGTGAACCGTGCCAGTACACGAGGCCGTTGTCCCCGAGAGAGTAGTTTGGGACGGTCTTGCCACTCCGAAGGGTCGCGTGGATGTCGCGATAGTCRGGGCAGTGACGGTACTGAGTGCSAAACTYGTCGATYGCCGAGTGGTGGACAGTGGTGAYCGAGATGGAAGASATCGAATCTGCTCCTGGTCGTGGTCAGGGCGCCGGGATAAGGCATCTGCRACCCGATTAGTTTCGCCCTTGATGTGCTCAGTGGTGAAACTAAACTCGGATAGGTCACGCCACCAACGAGCCTGWCGAGGAGTGAGCTTCGGTTTTGTCAGAAAAGCCTGGACAACAGAGTTGTCCGTACGCACCGTGAACGGTGCCCCGTGCAGGTAGTGACGCCAGTGCCGAGYGRCRTAARCTACTGCGAGAACCTCACGTTCATCAGCAGTGTAGTTTATCTCGGCKGGCWKGAGCTGACGGGAGTAGAAGGCTATCGGACTATGACCTGAGCGAGACTCGACAGTGTCGTCCTCGACGATGGTAGGAGAATAGTCAATAGAAGGCTCGTCAGTAGCTGGACGAGTAGGCGTCAGTCGGGAAGCAATGGTAGGGGTAGGTGGTAGGAAGCAAGGAATACGGGGTTGAGTGGAATCAGGAGAGGAGGGGAAAACATGAGAAAGCACTGCTCCTACAGCGAAGTCTGACGCATCGGTGGTAAGGATAAAAGGGTGGTCAAAATTGGGTAGGTGAAGAACCGGTGCGCATGTCACCGCCTTCTTGAGGGCGCGGAAGGCGTCCTCGTGGAGGGGTGTCCAAGCCCAGGGTGGGTTCTTCCGGAGGAGGGTGGAGGTAAGGACGTAGGAATACCTAGCGTATCCCCGGATGAAGTTACTGTAGTAGCTGGTCAAGCCTAGGAAGCTGCGAAGCTGCTTGGCGGATGTGGGGGCGGGCCACTCCGCAATAGCAGTGATCTTCGCGTCATTCATGTGGAGACCCTGGTTAGACACGTAGTGCCCTAAGAAATCCACTTTGTGCTGGGCAAAGCGGCACTTGCTCAGCTTGGCRTAGAAGCCATGTCTGCGCAAGCAGTCAAGGACGTCGCAGAGGTGTCTGAGGTGCGCCTCAAGGGTACAACTGTAGACCGGGATGTCGTCGAGGTAGACGAGAACATACTGCTTCAGGATGTCCCTGAAGATATCGTTCATCGCCCTCTGGAAGGTGGCGGGTGCATTGGTGAGGCCGAATGACATCACCGTAAACTCGTAGTGGCCGAAGCGGAATCGGAACGCTGTCTTCGGCTGGTCGGCTGCAGCGACGCGGATCTGATGGTAACCGCTACGAAGATCAATCTTCATAAAGAAGTGGTTGCCTGCTAGGCGGTCGAACAACTCATAAGAACGAGGCATGGGGTAGCTGTTCTTAACCGTGTAGCGGTTGAGACCGCGATAGCCGATGCAGAGACGGAGAGTTTCATTCGCTTTGCTAGCAAAGAGGACGGGTGCACCCCACGGGGAGTTGCTGGGTTTAATAAAACCCTATCTCGGGAGCTCCTCAAGCTGACGCTTGAGTTCGGTGGCCTCGGGGATCGAGAGTCTGTAGGGTGCCTGGTGGTGAACACGATAGTCAGACACAAGCTGAATGGAGTGTTCGACGTCACGCATCGGTGGGATGCCGGCGTACGAGAACGACGATGGGAAAACGTCGTGGTACTCTCGGATGAGGTCACGAACTGCGGGCTCCAGGTCAGCCGTATATCGTGCGATTTCCTCAGCGTCAGCGTCAATGAGCGACGGCGGGGTGGACTTGACGGATGACGAAGGGACGGAAGTAGAGATGGGAGCCATGGAGATAGAAGGAGGATCTGGCTCCATAGGGAGGAGCTCGGCGTCGGGACAGGGTGGATCATAGTGTAAGAGATCCGTCACGTTCACCATAAAAAAGGTGACTCTGTCCTGTCGGATGAAGTGGGCGAACTGCCGAGGCGAAGTGACAGTGATAGAAGGAGATGGTGTGGGCATAAAAGGCTCCGGGAGAGGAGGATTGGGGCGTGGTGTCGCAATACATCTGTCCACACTTCGTTTTGAGAACGAGAGTGTTGGTCGCCAAATCAGCCTTGGTGTTGCGGAACCGACGAGACCATGGAGTTCCGAGAATGAAGTCGTACCCCGTCTCCATCACATCAAAATGTGTAGAGGAGCGGTGGCGACGAGACGTCAGGGAACGATCAGTCGGCTCGAGAGTGAGGAAGAAAGGGAGGTCGGTGACCGCCTGATCGAAGAAACGCTGGGTCTTGTCATCCCCTAAGGTAACGGAGATGGGAGTCGAAGACCCTGTCGTGGGTAAGCGAGTTTCTTTCACCACGAGTGGGTGAATGAAGTCGCCCTGAGAACCGGAATCCCACAGCAAGGAGTACACCCTCGTGGAGGTCCCGAGTCGTACAAAATGATCGGAAGGGTGCGATCAGGGTTAGAGAGGATGGCGAGAAGGCGACGCAGTGCAGAGACATGGACGGTGAGTCGCTCCTAACGAGCCTGGAGCATGCTCAAGTCCAGAAGAGAGGACACAACGTCCTCGTGAGTCGCGAGCTGCTCGCTGCAACGAGCTGAGCGAATGGCTCGACGCGGCGGTAATCGCGGCGGGGAAGGAGGGGAGACGGTGGTCTGCGGAGGCGCAGACGGTACTGCGACAGAGGGCTAAGTACACTCTGTCAACTCCAGTAGCGAGAGGGGCGAACCGCGACGGAGATGTCGGGAAGTCCACTACTGAGGAGGGCGCACGTGTACACTGCACCGTGGCTAGGAGGCGCCGCGGGGATGCGAGGCGCCGGGGGGGGACTGAGCACGACGCTGGCGGGAAAGGTCAGCGTAGTGGCGGTCAAGGGCAGTGGTATAAGGGCACCGCGAGGAGGTATGACCGTCCTGGCGGCATCGCAAACACCCACGTCGGGCCATAATAGCCGCGCGCTCCTCGGCGGAAAGGACATCGCGAGGAGGAACAAAGCCCTGAGGGAGGTCCTGCTGAGGGACCTCGGGGGGCGATGCGCCAGCGTGACCAGGGTGGCTGCGTGCCCGGGAAAGGGTGGGGAGGATAAGCTCAAGGCGCTCAGCCATAGGGAGAGTAGGGTCCTCCAGGTGGTGTTGGACGGCATCGTCGAGGTCGAGGTCATCGCTATGATCACCCTCTGGCGACGACGGGGCACCAGCGTCCTGCACCCCATACTCGAGCGCGCTGAAGCGGCGCGAGAAGTGGCGTCCCTGCTGCATGGAATGGCGGGGGCGACCGCGGAAAGGGGAACGGCGCTGGGAAGTGCCGTGAGATTAGGAGGAGGCGTAACCCGTGCGCTGAGGCTGGGAGGAGGAGGCATGGTGAAGACGGGTTCGCACCCGCTCAAGGTTCCTCGCGGCCTCGTAAGCCTGCGAGGCCAATGTGAACTCGTACCTCCATAGCTCGGAGCGGTACTCGAGCGGGAGGTTGACCAGGAAACGATCGATAAGGGCAGCCTCGGGAAGGAACGCCACGTCACAAACGAGGCGGGCATCCTGAAAGACCTGGATGTGGCGATCCACGCCGGCAGTGCCACCAGAGCCGGACCAGCGTGCAGTGACGACACGCTCGAAGGTGTCAGTCACGTCATATCGAGTTCCGAAGCGATCCTCGAGGAACGCCTGGAAATCCATGAAGGTCGGAGTCCGACCCTCACGCATGGAGTAAGTATAAATATCCTCCCAGGCGTCGAAAGGAGCACCACACAGGCGCGTGGAGAGGTGACCCACCCACGTGTCGGGTGTGGCGCCTATGAGCTGGAGCGTGCGGGTGGCAGACTGCAGCCACCTAGACACGCGTATGCCTGTACAGTCATACAAGGGAATGTCCGACAAGTGGATGAGTGGTGCACCATCGTTTTGGCGGCGAGGGGAACGGGAAGCAGGGGACTGCGCTACGGCGGAATAAGTCGGCGCAACTCCTTGAGGGGGAGGCGCAACTGACTGTACGCCTGGGCCGCATGGTGGAGCGGCGGGGGAAACAGCAGCAGGCTGCGCGGGAGCTGCGGTAGAAGAGGTCGCAACAACCGAGGGGATGGGGAAGAGGTAGGATGGAGATGGGTAGGGTGTAGGGCGAGGGAAGCGAGCCTGCATGGAAGGAAGAATAGAGGACGAAGGGGGTGCGCCGGAAGGTGCGGCCACCTGTGCGGGTGGGGGTGGTTGAAGGCGTGAGAGGGCGAGGTCGTCCCGGAGCTGGGCGATCGCGTCCTCGAGACCTCGAACTTAGGTCGAGCGAGATGTGGCAGGAGGAGACCCACGAGCGGCGCAAGGCATCCCACAAGGGGTAGAGCCAGATGGCGCTGCGGGCGTGCGAAGAGGGGGGAGAAGTGGGGCACACGGAAAAGCCGAGACCATGGTAGCGGGTTGTGGTCCCGTGGCCGTCCTGACCGGAATTTGGGCGGGTGTGCCCGTGGACTGAGGGAGGGCCTGGCTCGTGGCGGCCGTCGTGCTAGGGGCGTGGACAGTCACCAAGATGGCCGGGTCGAGGGCGGCGGAGGAGGAAGCGCCGCTGTGGCCACCCTGTCGGAGGACAGGGGACCCGGACTGGGAGCCAGGAAATGGAGGACACGCAGCATTCTGAAGTTGCTGCACGCCGGCGGCAAGGGTCGCCACCTCCGCCTGTAAGGGCCCGAGGGTCGCGAGTTGCGCCTGGATGGGCGCAAGGGTCGCGAGTTGCGCCTGGATGGGCGCAAGGAGGGAGGTGAGGAGGGTGTGCAGATACCCCTGGGGCTGATAGCCCTGGTCCGCCGGCACAAGTGTGGAGCCCGATGCCGTGGCCATTGCCGTGTCGGCGGCGTGTGACACACCGTCGGCCATGGGGAGATGACGGACCGGACTGGAGGGGGCCAGAAGAGGTCCGCGTGAGCGGAGGGCGTAGGGGGAAGTCCGCGGTAGAAAGCCGCGAACGGCGCTAGCAAGGCTAGCACGGGCGTCGTCGAAGGGAGAGGGGTGGTTCGGGTCCAGGGTGCCCGAAGAGGACGGGGAAGTAGGGGGGTTTTGAAGAACCCTAAACCCTACAAAAACCCTACGAAAACCCTAACCGAGGTTTAAGTGGTTAGGGTAGGGTACCGGTGACCTAATCAAGAAAGTAAAAGAACAAGCATAGGGGGGGGACGGCGGGAGAAAAATAAATAAACAACGAGATTTCAAGGAAAATAAAAATAAATAAGGAAATAAATAAATAATAAAAATAATTAAAGAAATAAGCTAAAAGATGTGAAGGAAAAACAATATTTATTTTTTGAAAATTTTCGGCAGCATTTCCCTACCCCCCACGGGGTCAAGCATGTGCCAAGGGGAAGGGAGAGACCAAGGTGAGCACACTAGGTGTCAAGATGCCGCAAAAAGAAATTTCAGAAAATCAATAAAGAAATAATAGATAAAGAGATAAATAAATAAATAAATAAAGAAGTAAAAAGTGGATGAGAAGGTGGGGAGGAATGAAGTATCTAATTTGTCAAAACTTTTGGCAGCATTTTGTTACCCCCATGGGGTCGAAGTGTGCCGAGAACACTAAGTGAAAGAAAAAACAGAAAATTTCGGCAGCACTTCGTTACCTCCACGGGGTCAAAACGTGTGCCGAAAGTAGTAAAGACTAACACCCTAATCAGATTTAGGGTTGCCGTAAAAAAAATCGAATTTTTAGACTAAATAAAAAAATAAATAAACTCAATCAGAAAATGAGAAAATAAGGTGGGAAAGTAGATATTTTGAATTTTTGGAAAAGAGAAAAGATAAATCAAGAGAGAGAGAGGAAAAAAAAATAATAACCAGAAAAATTTGAAGTAGGGGGGGAATGGGAATGAAAAAATAAAGGAGAAGAGAAAGAAATAGGTGGGGGGGAGAAAAAGATAAAGTGGGAGGTGGGGGATGATGTGGTGGTTGTTGGGGGAGAGGAGGGTGAGAGAATGGGAGAGAAAGAGGATGGGGAAAGATGGAGAGTGATCAAGAAAGTAAGAGGAAAGAAGGAGGAGAGAAAAGAAAAGAAATGAAGAAAAAAGAGGGTAAGATAGTGGTTAGTGGGAGATAAGGTGGGGTGGGGAAGGTGAAAAGAGGAGGGGAGAGAGGCAGTGGAAGGTGGGGGAAAGAAAAGGGGAGAGAGAGATGATTCCTGGCCCTTGGTGTCTCCAAGGGCACAAGGTATACCAAGACCAAGAGGGTCTTGGCCTTCGCTGCAGCCAGCCAACTGGAGGATGGAGGGGGGTTGAGATCTTGATCAGCCTCTAGTTGCAACACTGCAGATGTAGGGTGTGCTGTGTGAGCATACCCTGGTGGATGATGATGATGATCTAGGGTTGGCTGAGATCTTGATCAGCCACCCTACTGCCACAGTCACACAGCCCCCTAGCCAGGGGGAAATCTTGAGCTGCTGCAAATCTGCAGATCTAGGGTATGCTGTGTGAGCATACCCTCACCGGTGTAGAGCAGCCCCTGAAACACAGGGGGTCTTCAAGTCCATAGCAAAGTGCCACGTGGCACTGCAGGTGGCCACGTGCACAGGCAGCAGC